CACAGAGAGGGCTCTAAACACAGACAGGGCTCTAAACACAGAGAGGGCTCTAAACACAGACAGGGCTCTAAACACAGAGAGGGCTCTAAACACAGTGTACAGGGAACTTCAGGAGTCAGAGTTTGAAGGTTGAAAGATGAGAGGCACCACAGGTGGCTTCTTCTGTTTTTCTTAATTGTGGTTTTACTGAAGTAGACAATACTTAGCCTCCATGGTGAATGGGACAAAATGTTTTCTAGATGCCTGAGGCTTTTTATTTTTATTTTTGCACATAGTTTATCATCTTCATTTTACAAGTGGAGAAAGTGGTTATAGATATCGTACCACAGACATTTAGAGGCAGCTGTGACTCAGTAATGTCTTGTCCTCCTGGCTTAAGACAATGGTCTCTTCTGTTTCTCCTGCAGGGGCCCCTTTGGAACCCTGTCGGCACTGGCCATCGTTGCCTGGTGCAGCCTCTCGGCTTCCAAGATCTTCACTTCGGCCCTGGACATGGAAGGGCAGCAGCTTCTCATCGCCTACCCGTGTGCCTTACTTTACGGACTTTTTGCCCTCCTAACAGTTTTCTGAAGAATGTTTAAAAAGAGTTTCAAAATGCTAATGTGTTTGCTGTTCGGATTGTCTTGGGAACTTATTAACATTCAAATTTGGTGATGTCATTTCTGTCTTCTAATAAACAGCAAGACCAAACAGCACTTGAGGACGGTTCCCTAATAGCCTGTGGGTTTGAATGATGTTTTGCTTCTCAGTTTGGTGCATTAAAACATTTTAACACCGTTGCTGTGCTGATGGACTGGACACTCCTTTCCTCAACAGACATATTTCTGAGAAAGTGTAAGCAAGTGAGCTGCCACGTGTAGCACTTAAAGGAAATCACCGGTGATCCTGTTGGGAAAGTTTCATGACAGCTCAGGTCGTGTGCACCTGGTTAAACATTCCACTGTTCTGCACCTTTGCAGACTTCAGGACTGGGTTAGAGAGAGTCATTATATACTCAGAGACTCAGGGAACCCCCTGCCTTTCAGTTCACTCACTTTAGTAATTCTTGATTGGTCTTACTACTTTTTCAGACTGTTCCTTCTTGTTTAGTTAAGATGCCATGGTCCATTATGATAATTTCTCCCTTGCATATATCAGCAGCAACCTTACAATTTTCTAAATAGATGAAACTATGAGAGAAAATCCTGCTTATTTCCAGTTGATTGTATTACCATATCTGAAATGGCTCTTCAACCCTGCCCTTGAGTCCTGTTAATTCTTCTACTGAATTAGCTTCCATGCCAGCTGAGATGACTGGATAATGCCCGTTCTTTACCGCTCAGATCTCTAGTTCTCTTTCTTCATCTCTTACTGTTAGTTCATTTTTACTTTTTTGAAAATTATAAACATCTAGAAAAGTGATTTTCAACTGTGCTGGGAGAGGATCTTAGGGGTGCTGCGAAAAAATTTAAAGGTCATTAATTAAATTATTTTCAAAAGAAGTTCAAACCACGGTAAGTATGTTGTATTTGTTCAGTCTTGCTTTTTGACCCACATAATTTAAGTGCCATGAGATGAAGAAGGTTGAAAAACTGATCTAGAAGAAAATTGCTTTGTGTTCACACCTTCATATTATTGAGAGAGGAGAAGCCAAACTCAGTCAAATCATTTAAAGGGGCTTGTTCTGAGCCACATTTGAGGACCGTGACCCCGGAGCCACACCCAAGAAGTCTTGAGCAATGGACTTGCCGTGGTGGGGTGACAGTTTGGTTTTACACATTTTAGGGAGACGGGAGTTTCAGGTGAGTTTCATAAATCAGTGAGTGGCAAACATACATGGGTCTGCTCAAAAATAAGGTGGGACATCTGGAGAGGGGGGTTGCTTACCCGTGGTAGATGGGTTTAAAGATTCTTTAGCTGACAATTAACTGAAAGTTAGGTTCTGTCCACAAGGCCAGGAGTCAGTGAAAGGGATTCTTAAGATCAAGGGTCTGTTAACTAGAGACAATGTGTGGGAAAGACTACTCCGTGGTTTGTTATGGATATTGAGGACCTGCAGGCTTGGGCCTGTTACTGAGTCCCAGAGCACATCTTTAAGAAGCGGACGGGCCTGATGAGGCCTGTCTGAGCTCCTTTCTCATGGCCAGCAATTCAGTTTTAGGGATCCTCTTGGCCAACAGGGGGTCCAGGCAGTCAGTCATTGAAGGGGAGGAGGCTTCAGATTTTATTATAATATCTATCAAGCTACATGGATCTTCACCCACATGCACCCTGCTTCCCTCTCAGCACCCCGTTGTCCCTCCCCAGCCAGCCACACCACCTGCAGGAACAGTGTTTTCTTCTGACTCGTCACACATGTCACCCCAGAAATGTGTTTTAATATCTCCTGTCTTAAAAAGAAAATGCTTTGACTTAACATTCTCCTGTCATGGCCTGTACTTCTGTTCCTATTTTATAGCAAAAATCCATAAAAGAGTTGTCTGTTCTCTGTGTCTTCACACTCTAAACTCCCATTCTCTGAGTTAAAATAAAATCTGAAGGTTCCCTCTAAGTGGCTGACTGACTGGACCCCTCTTGGCCAATGAACGGAATCCCTAAAACTGAGTGATTGGCCGTGAGAAAGAAGATCAGTTATTCCTCATTCTGCTCCCCCCATTCTTACAGTTGTGACTGACTCACTAACAGGCCTCGGGCTATGCAGGAGCTACCTGCAGGTCCTCAAAATACATCACAAACCATCCCCTACTTTGAGTCCATTCCCCACTTTATCTCTAATTAACAGACCCTTTATCTTAAGCTTTGACTTCACTGACTTCTAGTCTTTTAGACAAAGCCTACCTGTTTCGGCCAATTGTCAGCTAAAGAATCTTTAAACCCACCCATGCTCTGTAAGCGCCCCCCCTTCCAGATGTCCCACCTTTGGGGGCTAAACCAATGTATGTTTTCCGCATACTGATTTATGACCTGACCTGAAATTCCTGTCTCCCTAAAATGTAGAAACCCAAACTGTCACCCTCCCACCAGAAGTCCACTTGCTCAGGGCTTCTTGGGGCCACGGCCCTCCAGTTTGGCTCAGAATAAACCTCCTTAATTTATTTTTACCGAGTACGGCTGCTTTTCCATGAACACTTTCTTGCCGTCTAGTCAAGCACATTGCATCACTCGATTTACTGCATCCGCATCTTGCTAAATCCAAGGTTTGATTCTCAATTTCATTTTATTTGAAACCGCATAGATATTTACTGGATGACCCTCTTCACCGAATTCCCCCAGCCACCACGCTGAAGCTCTGATCTCCTTACTCTGATTCCGGAGTCTCACATGCTCGTGGTTCATTTTTTCACGTTCCCGGGAGCTCCTTTTTAGTTTCCCTACTAGGCTGTCTTCTTCCCAACCTCAAATCTCTTCTCAAATCCTCACTTGCTACAGGAACTTGTTTAATCGCATGGCTTCAAATTCTAATGACTCCAAAATTTCCATCTCCACCTAACACCCCCTTACTCTTACACAAACACACACACACACCACACACCTAGTAACACCTCCATTTGTTTCTAATGTGATAATCGCAAAATCAGCATATCTGAAACGTAACTCTTGATTTCTACCCTGCCCTGCCTGTTCCTCTTCCACATTTTTTCATCTTTATAACAAGAACCGTAAATCATGTGCTTGATCCATCTATAAGCGAGTAGTTAGACTTGATTTGCTCTTAGTTTCACCACCAACATCTAGTCCATCAATTACTTTTGACTTTATAATCAAAACATTACACAAATGTGGCCGTGTTTCAGGGCCGCTTCACTGCCAGCACTGCTCTCATCTGCTCCTAACTGGTTTCCTCCCCAACAGGCTTTTCTATATACAGCAAATGGTGTAATCCTTTGAAAATGTGAATAAATTATGGCATCCCAGGACCGCTTTATGGCTTTGTATATTTACAATAAGACCCAACCTCCTTTCATAGCTCAGAGCCTTTCTATTCAAAGAGTGGTAGCTACAACAGTAGTGTCAGCATCCCAGGGAAGCTTGTTAGGAATTCAAAGTCCCAGGCCCTGCCCCAGACCTCCTGATTTAGAGTCTGCAGTGACGAGATCACAGATGATTTAAATGCAGATTTCAAAAAGAGCCAGCCAAGCAGGCCTTGCAGAGTGATCTGTGACCAGCCCCCCTGACATCATCTTACCCCATCCGGCCCCCTGACATCAGCTTACCCCATCCGGCCCCCTGACATCAGCTTACCCCATC